TGTTATTATAAAATATGTTTTAGTTAAGGAATTATTGATACTTCAAGTATAAAATGATGATATAAAACCTTGATAAAAATATATTTTTAAGTATTAATCATCAATAATTAAATTTTAAATGAAATTTAATGTCTAAAAATAGTATAAAAATAAATAAATCAATCAATATATTGTTGAAACTAAGCTCTCTAAAATATTCATTTATTAATATTTAAAGAAAAAAATGATTATAATAAAAAAGTAAAATGAATTAAATTTAAATTAGATGGTGTAGTGAAAAAGAGATTACTATTATAAAAATTTTCCTGGCCCAAAAAAAACTAACATTAAAAAAATCAATAGGATCATAAATTATTTGGGTTTATTCAAATTAATTTAAATTTAACTTATTTTGAAATTTGAATTAAAACTATAATTACAATTTTCTTTTAAAATGATTTTTATATAAAAATTAAGCAAAATAAATTTTAATTTTAAAAAATATTTTTTATATCAATAAATGCAACACTATAAAACATAAAGGGAGATTTATTTTTTCTTTTCATAAAAAACCACATAATCTTATCTAAAGAAAACAAAAACTAGTTGTGAGATTTGCATAAATCCATGTTAAAAATCTCAAAATAGCAGTTTTTAAAAAAGGATATAAAATTTATAGAGTTTTGACCTTTTCTAATAAACATAAATTTCTTTTCTATAAAACAAAATACCAAATATTATGTTATGTGTTTATATATATATATATATAATTACCATTTTAAATTTAATATTTATTGTTATGTTTTGTTTTGTTTTTATGAGAAAATGATATATGCATTAATTTTTTATGTTAAATAGACATCATCCTAAATATAACTTTAATTAACTCGCTCAAATTATTTGGATTCAATTTAATTTAGATATTTCTAACTAAATCTCATATTTATAATTATTTTGAGTGTCAATAATTAAATTTTAAATGAAATTTAATGTCTAAACATAGTGTGTGTGTATATTGTTGAAACTAAACTCTCTAAAATATTTATTTATAGATATTCGAAGAAACAAATTCATTATAATAGAAAAATAAAATAAATTAAATTTAAATTAGATGATGTAATGAAACGAGAGAAATGTAAAAAAGAGACTAATATAATAAACATTTCCTGGCCGGAAAAAAACCAACATTAAAAAATTCAATAAAATCATAAATTATTTGGTTCAATTCAAATTAATTTAAATTTAATTTATTTTAAAATTTAACTTAAAAATATATTTATAATTGTCTTTTAAAATGTTTTTTATATAAAAATTAATCAAAATAAATTTTTAATTTTAAAAAGTTTTTTGCATATCAATACATCTAGCGCTAGAAAACATAAAGGGAGATGCGTTTTTTATTTTCATAAAAAACCATATAACCCTATCTAAAGAAAATGAAAACTAGTCGTGAGATTCGCGTAAATCCATGTTAAAAATCTCAAAATGCTAGCTTTTTCAGAAGCTCATAAAATTTATAGAGTTTTGATCTTTTATGATAAATATAAAATTGTTTTCCATAAAAAAAATACCGAACATGGAATTGTATGTGTTATATATATATATATATATATATATATATATATATTTATCTTTTGATATATTGTTATATTTTTTTTTACGAGATGCCTTTTAGAATGATTTGTGCATTAATTTTTTACATTTTTTTAACAAAAATATTATCTTAAATATAAGATTAATTAACTCGCTCAAATTATATGGATTCAATTTAATTCAAATATTTTTATTTAAATCTCATATTTATAATTATTTTGAGTGTCAATAATTAAATTTTAAATGAAATTTAAAGTCTATAAATAGTATAAAGATAAATAAAAAAAATCAATATATTGTTGAAATTAAACTCTCTAAAATATTCATTTATAGATATTTGAAGAAAGAAAATGATTATAATAAAAAATAAAATAATTAAATTTAAATTAGATGCTGTAATGAAAGAAAAGAAATGTGAAAAGAGACTACTCTTATAAAACTTTTCCTAGCTAAAAACAAAAACTCAACATTAAAAAAATCAATAGGATTATAAATTATTTGGGTAAATTCAAATTAATTTAAATTTGACTTATTTTGAAATTTGACTTAAAAATATAATTATAATTTTCATTTAAATTGCTTTTTATATAAAAACTTATCAAAATAATTTTTAATTTTTAAGTTTTTTAATCAATACATGCAGTACTACAAAACATAAAAGAAGATGTATTTTTTCTTTTCATAGAAAACCACGTAACCTTATTTAAAGGAAACAAAAACTAGTCGTGAGATTCTTATAAATTCATGTTAAAAATCTTAAAATACTTGTTTTTTTAAGAAGAACTTAAATATAGAGTTTTGACCTTTTCTGATAAACATAATTTTTTTTTAAAAAAAAATACCAAACATGATATTGTGTGTGTTTGTGTGTATATATATATCATCTGAAATTTAACATTTATTGTTACATTTTGTTTTTTATGTGATACCTTAATGATGTGTGCATTAATTCTTAATTCTTTTTTAGAGAAGACATCATATTAAATATAATTTTAATTAACTCGCTCAATTTAATTTAGATATTTTTAATTAAATCTCATATTTATTATTATTTTGAGTGTCAATAATGAAATTTTAAATGAAATTTAATGTATAAAAATAGTATAAAAATAAATTGAAAAATCAATATATTGTTGAAACTAAGCTCTCTAAAATATTCATTTATAGATATTTGAAGAAACAAAATGATTATAATAAAAAAATAAAATGAACTAAATTTAAATTAGATACTGTAAATGTGAAAATAAAACTACTATTATAAACCTTTTCCTGGGCAGAAAAAAAAAACCAACATTAAAAAAATCAATAAGATCATAAATTATTTGGATCAATTCAAATTAACTTAATTTAACTTATTTTGAAATTTGACTTAAAAATATAATTACAATTGTCTTTTAAAAAACTTTTTATATAAAAATTAATCAAAACAAATTTTTAATTTTAAAAAATATTTTTTATATCAATACATGCAACACTACAAAACATAAAGGGAGATGTATTTTTTTTTTCATAAAAATCAGGTAACTTTGTTTAAAAAAACAAAAACTAGTCATGAGATTTTTGTAAATTCATGTTAAAAAATTTAAAATGCCTAATTTTTTTAGAAGCTCTTAGAATTTATAGAGTGTTGACCTTTTCTGATAAACATAAAATTTTTTTCTATAAAAAAATACCAAACATGGTATTGTATGTGTATATAATAAAATTACCATTTGAAATTTAATGTTTATTGTGACATTTTGTTTTTTACGAGATGCTTTTTAGAATGATGTGTGAATTAATTTTTGATTTTTTTTAAAAAACATCATCTTAAATATAATTTTAATTAACACTCTTAAATTATTTGGATTCAATTTAATGCAAATATTTTTAATTAAATCTCATATTTATAATTATTACGAATGTCAATAATTAAATTTTAAATGAAATTTAATGTCTAAAATAGTATAAAAATAAATAAAAATTAATATATTATTGAAACAAATTCTCTAAAATATTCATTTGTAGATAGTTGAAGAAATAAAATGATTATAATAAAAAAAATAAAACAAATTAAATTTAAATTAGATGTTGTAATGAAGTGAGAAATGTAAAAAATAGACTATTATTATAACTTTTTTCTTGGCAGAAAAAAGAAAAAAAACCGACATTAAAAAAATCAATAGAATCATAAATTATTCGGGTCAATTTAAATTAACTTAAATTTAATTTTTTTTGAAATTTAATTTAAAAATATAATTATAATTATATTTAAAAATAATTTTTATATAAAAATTAATCAAAATAAATTTTTAATTTTTTTAAAAATATTTTTATATTAATACTTGCAGCACCGTAAAGAGAGATATGTTTTTTCTTATCATAAAAAACTACATAACCTTATTTTTTCTAAAAAAAATATATTTGTGAGATTCATGTAAATTCATGTTAAAATTTTTGAAATACTAGTTGTTTTAGAAGCCGGAAGAATTTATAGAGTTTTGATTTTTTTTGATAAATATAAATTGTTTTCCATAAAAAAATATCAAACATGGTATTGTATGTGTTTGTATAGATATATAATTATCATTTGGAATTTGATGTTTATTGTGATATTTTGTTTTTTGAGAGATGAAAAGAATGATGTGTGTATTATTTTTTTATTAAAAAAATATTATCTTAAATATAATTTTAATTAACTCCTTCAAATTTTTTGGATTCAATTTAATTCAGATATTTTTAATTAAATTTTATATTTATAATTATTTTAAGTATCAATAATTAAAATTTAAATAAAATTTAATGTCTAAAAATAGTATAAAAATAAATAAAAAAAATTAATATATTGTTGAAACTAAGCTCTCTAAAATATTCATTTGTAGATATTTAAAGAAATAAAATGACTATAATAAAAAATAAAACAAATTAAATTTAAATCAGATGCTGTAATAAAATGGGAGATGTAAAAATGTGATTACTATTACAAACCTTTTTCTTGATGGAAAAAAAAAAAAAAAC